TGCTGAGGCAACTCATACTCTTTTTGCAACTCAGCTAACTTCTCTTTTGCTTTTGCTGACCGATGAACACGTTCACAGATCTTTCTTGCAATACTTAGCAAATTCTGAACCATTCTCTGGCTTTTAATGGCCTCATTTACAATGACATTAACAGTGTGACTAAAGCACTGTACACTTGAATGATCACCCTCATTTAAAGTTTTTTCTATGCTGTGATTATCAGTAACAGTAATCCCAATCTGAAGGCCAATGGAAGTAATCCACATTTCCCACCAGTACTCTAACTGCTTTTGAATACTGATTCCATTGTAGTCGCAATCAATCTGTGATACATTTAATAGTGCTGAACAATGATAATCCTCACACTGTGGTCGAAATGAAGACTCAAATGTTACCCAGTGAGCTGTAAGGGTTAGATATTCTCGTGTTTGGTTGCTCATCCATATTCCTGATGTAAAATGGATCACTCCACTTTCAGCTTCTTTAAGATGAGAAATAATTATTTGTCTTACATTATCATACATATCTGGAATTGCTGTCCTAGAAAAGTAAGATGGAGAAGGTAAAGAATACTGAGGTTGCAAGTATTCAAGCAGCCTGTTAAAGCCAATATTGTCTACAAAAGAATATGGCTGAAGGTCAAGTGCAATCATTTCAGCTACAAGACTTGTGATTTTTTTGGCAACTGGGTGAGAGTCACAAAACTTGTCATTGGTTTCATCAAAAGTTGAAGATGCTAATAATTCTGTGCTCAGTGGCATGTGATTATCCGTAGATGTGGATAATACAGTCTCTGAGACATCAGTTTTCAATACATTGTTATGAAACCGCTGCAAATGTCTTAGAAGGCAACTTGTGCCCAGATTTGTTGGCTTTTTCCCCCTACTTATTGTACGTCCACAGTGCATACATATTACTTTTGTTGAATCTGCAGAACAAATTGAAAAGTGATTCCACAGTTTTGAGGTCTTCTTGCTATTGACAGGAAAAATAATTTGATTATCATGTGTAACCATTGTAGGTAATTCAGTCAACTTTGAGGATGAACATTCTGCAGAAGCCAAAGTAGCATAAGGAGAATTTGCCAAACTAACATCAAGACAGCTTTTTTGGCTTCCAATTATATCAGGATGGCGTCTATATAGATGTCTCATCAAGCAGCTCGTTCCTACATCTCCTTTTTTACCACGACTTATCATACAACTGCAGTATCTACATACTGCTTTTAGACTGTCAGCAGGTGACAATGAAAAGTGATGCCAAACTTCTGATTTAAGCCTTTTCATAATCCTTTTATTCTGCTGAAATACCGCAGTGGGTTCAAATATGAGTGGGCCTAATCCCTCACACTGTTTCTCAGGGGAGGACACAAATGAGACTTCACCTATGTCATCAGAAGATGACAGCATTGAGTCTTCCACTAGAACATCTCCGGAAGAGAGATTAGTATGTATCTCCTCTGAGATTCTGTCTGGAGAAGAGGACACAGAAGCCGATTCTTTCATTAGCTTTCCAGGAGAGGATGACATAGAATTCAGATCACTATCTGATGGTAGTAAAGAAGGCAACAGAGTTGGAGGTGTGGTGTAGAGAGGTGGTATACTGGTACCACCCCCGTTCTCTTGCAGGACAATGGAACGATGTGCTCTCCACATATGTCTTATCAAACAACTCGTTCCCAGGTCTTTTCCATTTTTTCCTCTACTGAATTCATTCATACAGTGGATGCAAACAGCTTTAGAATTATCAAGTGGTGATAAATAAAAATGTTTCCAAACAGCAGATCTCCTTCTAGAACCTGATGTGTTCTTTGGAATTACAACAGTTTTTTCTGCTACATTCTCCACAGTTTCATCATATTGGTTGCTGGGGAGCTGTGGAGATGACCCAACCATGACTTCTTCTTTGTTGCACTTTTCAGAAACTGAGAGATCTGCTATTTCTTCAGAAGAAACAATAGAAACAGATTCCTCAATTATCCGATCTGGAGATGGTATTTTAGAAGCCATTTTCTTTACCAGTTTTATAGGGGATAACATAGAACTCAGATCTCCCATATCTGCAGACTGAGGCGGCAGTAATAATGTAGGTGAAGAAAAGGAAGATATATTTGGCATAGTCCCATTTTCTTGAATTAGTACAGTAGGATGGGCTCTCCTGACATGTCTCATGAGACAACTTGTACTTAGGTCCTTTTCATTTTTACCCCTGCTAAATTCTTTCATACAGTACATACATATTGCTTTAGTGCTATCTCTAGGAGATATAAAAAAATGGTTCCAAGCAGGTGACTTTTTTCTGGAGCTTATATTTCTGCTGGAAAGGAGGCTTTGTGTCACAGCCTCCATTGCTACATCATACAGCGTACTACTATACTGAGAAAAAAGAGATCCATAATCATCTTCATTTTCTGTAGATAAATATTTGCTAGGGTTGTTGCTAATGAAGTTCTTTTCTTTGTCTTCTTGTTCATCACTGCTGTCTGCATGTTTGAATTCATCTTGTTCTGTCTTTATATCCATTCTTTCTAGAGTACAGTTAATGCCATCTTCCTCTTGCTCTACTTTCAAGTTATTGATTTTTCCCAAGATGAAATTACCATCCATGATGGGGGAACCTGATTTACTGTTTTCCATGGCTGACAAATTCCTCTTGCCAAGTCTTCATTTATTAATAAATACAGATAATTTAAAAGATTACGTAAAATTTGATTAAAATGACGTATCTTGTATACTGAATGCACAAACACAAATCTACGTGTTAAAATAATCTCTGGTTTATGAATTCTGTATCTGTGTTGTGCAGACGCAAAAATGATTAGTCATAAGGATGCATTAAGAAATTATAGACTTAATTAATGGAATCTCATCTTTTTCCCCAGGATCAGGACATTTCAGGTCATAGATGAACGTTCTCAAAGGCAGCTTCTGTTGAATGTTTCATGTTGTAGATATCATCCTAAAAATCGAATGTTCTATTTTCTTGGTCAAGGAAGCCATTCTGTTCATCTTGATTGGACAACTGTGATTCTTCTGCACCATCTAGAAAAGAAACAGTTAGATGACAAATGCTGATTGACACATTCTGAATAACTAGTAAACAATGTGAATTATAATCGTGCAATAAATGTTCTGTATTTTTCCCCCACTTTCTTTAAGGTAAAAATAATTCAGACAAATGCTATTCCCTTTCTCCCCCTTAAACAAAACAAAAACAAGACCACACATTTACTCAATGCATCTATTTATATTGAGCAATATGGGGCAAATACAGACCTACACACTCAGCTCTGATAAAGCATTGTCAAAATCTACAGTCCACATGCTGCTTTTGTGTTTGTTTCTACATATTTACACCTCACCATGCATCCTAATTCAACTACTGCATAGTCATACATACACACGTCCATACAGCTACCTATATCTACATACATTTTATGAAGACAAGCAGGCATTTAGTCACATTAGCAGAGAAACGTTCACTTAAATGCAAATGTAAAGCTATCCTTTGGCAGAAAAGCAAAAATCCCCATCAGCCCTACATAAGCCTGAAGATGTCTGCATCTCTCAGCTACTCTTTTGTTTTGAATTTTTATTTTTCCTACATCTTTATCTGAATTCTAAATTTTGGCAAACCCTTTCTTTTCTTTTGTATCACTAATGTAGTTATTAGTATCTTCATTACCATAAAAAAAACATTTTTTAACCAGAGAGCTGATGCTACACTATCCACTTCAATTTGTGCAAAACTGATTTTATGGAACTTTTATCTCAAGATAAAACACACAAATTTGAATTTATCACACAATTTTTATGTTACTCAAATGAGGATTTCAGCAGACAAAAGGTGAAATTAGTCACAGATACAAGATACATACATAGGTTGGGGTTGTACACACAGACATTTTCTTTTGCATCTAGACAAACAAGATAGTAGCTTTGTGGTTCTAATTGTTCTCCCTCTACAGTTGGCTTGCAAGAGAGGCCGAACAGAACACCTAACAACTAGCTTTCCCTGGATTTCAGACTTCTTTAAAACATACTGGAGTGATAACTTCTCCTTTTTTTTTTTTTTTTTCCCAATGAAGCAGAAGAAGCAGATAAAAGGAAGGGCAATCAGCTTGTTATAGCTATTTAAAGACATGGGGGACAGAGCCATCAGCATTTTGCAAAGAGGAAGGCAGTCTTTTTCTTTCTGTAGAGGTTTTAGTATTTGTGTTTTCTTTCTCCTTCTCAGAGAGAGAGGAAAAAAAAGAAAAAGAAAAAGGATACTTTCAGACACCCAGACACCAGAAGAGAACTCCAGAACGAAAAAAAAAAGAGCCTTACATTTATTTCCATGTCCCAACTCACTAACACACCACCCAGTGCTTTCTACAGGTTTGCGAAATCAGGTCCGGCAGCAGAGACTAAATTTACAGCCCTCAATATAACACTGAATGAAACGGAAGTTAGCAATCACACCCATATTGATGATACAGAAGCACATACATGTGGGATGAGGACGAGAGTGTAAGACAGTCAACATTTCAAACAGAAGTCAATCAAATAGGATTTTTAAATTCTTAATGTGAATTTTGATCTTATTTTTGAATCTGGAATTAGTACTGCAAACATGCAAAAGCATGAATATTTAGTGAATTATTGTAACATGGGATCGTGGAATAGAAATTCTCACAAATATTCCATATAGAGTTTAGAGAATATAGATTATGCATCTAAGTGCCAAACTACAGTAAGCGCATTACAAATTCTTAGCTGGATTCACATATAATGCAAATATCCAACAGCAACAGCTTCTGATGAAAACAATTTCTTCATCTCAAAATAGGTAACCACAGTTCTAGCCTGTAACTCTAACTTCTTTCGCACGAGGGAGAAAAAAATAAAGAAAAAGAAAATAAAAACCACATACAAACACACAAACAAAAATCAAACACAAACATCAAGACAAAAAAAA